GTTTAGTGTTTTTACTATGATGTGCCATGGAGAGTTTTTCTGGTCCTGTCTATTTGGCATTCTGTATGCTTCTTATATTTGTATGGGCATGTCTTTTTTTTTAATTTTGGGAAATTTTCTTTTACAATCCTGTTGATGATGTGTTCCATACCATTATCTTGAGATTCTTCTCCTTCCTGTATGGCTATGATTCATAAGCGTCACACAATTCTTGCACATTCCATTTGTGTTTTCTTAAATTTTTCATAATCTTTGCGTAAGTGGTCTAATTCCTCCACTTTAATTGTCTAGTTTTGATATTCTGTTTTTCATTTCCCATTCATCAGTTGGGAGACATTTGGGTTGTTTCCATTTCTTAGCTATTGTGAAAATAGCAGCAACAAACATGGTGTACAGGTGTCTCTACAGTATGGTGATGAGTCCTGGTGTAAAGACTGGTATAACAGGATCATATTCTTTGATTTGTGTGTTCTTTAAATTCACTGAATTCTTTTATCATGTTTATTATTGTTGAGTTCCATGTCCTGTGTTATCTCTAGGAGTTCTCATTGTACTCCTCTAGAGGACTATTGGTACGTTGTGGGGATATATTATTTTGGTTTTTCATGTTATTATTTTTCCTCTGTGACTTGACGTGAATTTCCTTCACAGTTTCTGATTCTTGTGTGAGACTCAAGCCTTCCTTTGTTGAGTTTAGATCTGCTTCTTTTTGTAATCTTTATTTGCCTTTGTGGTTTACTTGTTGGGCATGAAAAGCTAGGCTTCAGGCTCTCTTTTGATTTTGTATTGGAGTGGCCTAATTGCTTTTGTCTTCAGGAGTTCCCACAGAGTCCCAAGTGAGATGAGGCTCAGATGCTCTCAGGCTTTCTCCTAAGGTCTAGGTCCCTCCAGGAAAGATGCTGCCCTCAGGAATTTGGGGGCTGGGTTGGCCTGAGAGAAGGGCCCAGGATAGATGCTGGTCTCAGGAAGCTAGTGGCTGTGCCACCCAGGGAACTAAAGGGAGGTGAGGGTGGGACCAGGCCCAGAGGGTTCCTGGGGGCTGCAGGGAGGAACTGGGTTGGTCTGGATGCAAAGGATCAGGAAGCAGTGGTGGCTCTGGGCCAAGAGGTTAGCCCTGGTGTCTGGGGTGCCAAGAGAAGAAATGGGCCTGTACCCAGGCTAGGAGGAGAGACATGGTGGGGGAGCTGGAAATGTGAAAGAGGCTCTGGGAGTCAAGGCATGGTGGGCACGCTGGACTCACCCAGGGAAGGTTCTGGGATCAGGACACTGGAGGCTGTGCAGCCCAGGGAAGTAAAAGGAGGTCAGGGCAGGACTAGGCCTAGAGGGTTCCAGTACCCAGTTTTATATGATACCGGGGATTAAACCTAGGGTTTTGTGTAAGCATTTTACCAATTGAGCTACATCCCCAGCTCCTCCTTTTAATATGCCTTTCCAAACATACCCCAATAACAACCCATCTCCTCTAACCAGCCCCCACCTTATACCTAGATGCTAGTTCTTAACTACCATTCTATACATCTTATAAACTGGATCTGCTCAACAGTTTTGCTATGGCTTATCTTTTTTTCTTTTTTCTTTTTTTTTTTTTTTTTGCTGATGGTAAATGTTATCATTCAAAATGCACTTACTTAGCTTCTGTTATTTATAGGTACTGAACATTCAGAGGAGAAAGACAGTACCTACTGGAGAGAAGGAGCAGGTGCTGATATGTAAATGGCATTGGTGGAGCAGTTCAGCTGTGTATTAGAGGCTTTGAAGTTCCTCAGTTTGTTTAATGAGTAGGTACCAACTTTGTACTAAATACTGAGCTAGAAAGTATTTGGCTTGGAAAGTAGAAAGGGGGCGCTGACAACTTTTTATCACTTTAAAATGGATATTTTGGGGCTGGAGGGATGGCTCAACAGTTAAGAGCACTGGCTGCTCTTACAGAGGACTGGGGTTTGATTCCCAGCACCCACTTTGTAGCTAACAACCATCCAAAGTAACTCCAGTTTGAGGGGAATCCAACACATTCTTCTGACCTCCGTGGGCATTGCATGACATGGGTGCACTTACATACATGCAAGCAATACACTCATACACATAAAATAAAAAAGATGCATATTTTTCTCATATATATGAACATCTGCATTATATGCTTTACAATAATTACAGGTTTATGTACTTATTTTGTTTTTTTGAGGCAGGGTCTCCCTGTAGCCTCAGCTTGCCTGGAACTCTATATGTAGACTAGGTTCCATCTCACAGAGATCAGCCTGCCTCTGACTCTAGCTTGCTGGAATTAAAGGCTTGCACCACCATGCCTACCTGGCCACTACTAGTTTAAATAGTAGCTTTCTTTTCTTCTGATCTTACTGGTACATAAAATAGCAGTTCTGTTCCTTTTGACTGGCAGAAGCTTAGACTCAGTAAAACATAACTTTTGTTGTCATATCTGCCAACATGGTTCTTATTCCCAAGGTGTTTAGTATAGATGGTCCTGCAATGTCCCAATTTTCTCCCTGTATTTATAGCCACGCAATGTACTGCCTCAGCTCATCTTCCTCCTCAAGGAGTAAGCATGTGTTTACTCAAGTGCAGTTGTCTGTGTTCCTTCCATACCAGCTTCCTCATTCTTCAGCAAATGAAAACATCCCATCTATCTTTAGCTTCAACTTCTTTTCTGGGTTGGGTTCTGATTCATAACTGACACCCAAGTATTTCTATTTTTGTGTTGATGTCACATCAAATTCAATACAGAGTAGCATCTTCCTCCAAGTCAACTTCCCCAAGCCTTCCAAGGTCTATCAGTTCACCTAAGAACTTGAAACCTTGCAAGCTATTCTGTCTTCCTTCCTGTTTTACTTCTTCCTCCTCCTTAGTATGTAACAAAGACCTGTGCATTCCCCCTCTTGCATTGCTCCTTTCTAGTTCTGCTATTACCATCTCAGTTCATGCCCTTGTCTGTGGACTATAAGACCTCTCTCTGCCTCTCCCTCTGATTCATCTGGTCCATTTATCACCAGTTTATGTTTCCTCTAACATTGTTCCATACACTTGACTCCCTGCTAAACATCACTTAATGGCTCCTTACTGATCACTGAATAATTCCAACACACAGCCTGGCACTCAGAGTTCTCCATAATCACCCCTTTCCTCTTTCATCACCTACCATGTAACTGGGAGAAATGTTCTGCACTTCTCAGCTGCCACAGTTTTGGCTTCAATAATTTCTACTGATTTCGATGCTCATGCTCTTGGCTTTATTTCTTTATGCACAGTTTTCCCTTCATAGCTCAGGTGACTCCTCCAGGACAAAGCATTTCCTGATAGTTTAAAATGAGCTGTCTCTCCTAGCTTGCACAGTACTGTGAGCACCACTAAAGTGACACTTTGTAAGTGATCCTTTCTATTGCTTTCTATCATTTTGCCTGTGACAATGCTTTTCAAAGAATAAATTTTGTAAGAGGGGGTTTGACAATAGCTTGTTATAGTGTTGATGGGTTTTTTTTTGCTTATTGAGACAAGATCACAGGTAGCCAAGACTGGCCTTCTTGCTTCTACCTTTCAAGTGCTGGGATTACAGGTGTGTGTCTGTGGTCTGTTAAACAGAAGAATATTTCACATTGGGATGTTCAAGTAGCCCTACTAATTCATTTCACAGATGAAGAACCTGAAGCCTGGCGTGCTCAAACATCCATTTACTCAAGAGCTAATATCATGGGCTAGTGAGATGGCTCAGTTGGTAAAGTGCTAGCCCCACAAGCATCAGGATCTGAGTTCCGATCCCCAGCAGCTACATAAAAGCCTTACACTGTGGCCAGTGTTGGTAACTCTAGCGCTGAGGGGTTTGGGGATGGGTAGGGGAGGCAGAGACAGGCGGATCCCTGGAGCTCACTGGTTAAGTGAAATAACGTGGGGAGCAATAGAGGAAAACACTGAACGTCGACCTTTGGCCTCCACATGCACATATGTACTCATGTACCTGCATACATATCCACAAATACATCCCAAACAAAGCGACTCTGTCATAGCAACTTGTATCTGCTGATATTTATAGAGGGGTTGGGGTCTGCAGAATGGCTAAATTCTGAGGTAGGGTTTGAGGGTATTTCCTGAATATTTTTGGCAAATGAGTGAATAGGTAATTCAAGCTGCCTGATGGGGTAGGCACAGTGGCTATTTCGGGACTATTTTCAGGCGGGTCAGGGACAGGGTCTTTTAGCTCAGGCTGACCTCCTCATCCTCTTTCCTCAGGCTCCCCACGGCTGGCTAGTGCTGTTCTTGGGCTCAACCCAGAGGCTCTGGAGAATGGTTCCTCGGCCTTACTAAAGCAGTGCTCTTCGCCCAGCACGAAGTGAAGTACGCTGGTTTGGAGGCTGCTGGAGGTCATAGGCCCAGAAGGAAGACCTGCCGCGGAGGGCGAAGGCCAGCCAACGGCTGGCTACTCTGCGGAACAGGCAGGACCCGCCCCTCACAGGAATCCCTAGGCTAGCCAGCCTCCCCGGCCTTGGCCGGGATCCCGGGAAAGAGGAGCAAGGGGCTTTCCACCTGCCCCAGGCCTAACCCCGGCGGCCGGGCCTCTCGGGTTCCGGCCGCTCGTGCCCCGCCCCTCATGCCTCGCCCCGCCCCTCGCCTCTCGGGCTCGCGCCTGTTCCGGACCGGCTGCGTGTGCGCAGGCGCTCTAGCTGGCTCTCTGTAGGCGCGAATTCGAGCGGCTGGCGGCTGGTAAGAACCCTGGGTTGCCGAGGTCCAGACGCGGCCAGCATGGAGAGGTGTCGGTGACTCGGCATGCGCCAGCAGCGGGCGCGAGCTGGCGGATCGGCTCCCAGCCGGGTAGCTCTCGGGGACGCGCCGCGAGGCCTCCAGTCCAGCCCGGGCCCTCGGCGTGTGGCGGGGACAACCGTGGTGGGGACGCGCCCCGGGGCGGCCCTGCGGACCCTGTCCCTGCAGTCTTGGCGGGCTGGCCATCCGGAGCCAGGGCCGAGGAGCCCCGGGGGTCGCTCTGCGGGAAGGGAGCCGAGCCTGGACATCGGCGGCCTGGCCTCTGTCGGAGTGCTCTCGCTGGTGCTCCCGGTGCCGGTTCTCCGGCACCTGCCGGCCTCTTCCAGAGAATGCTCCTGGGCTGCGCTTGCAGGTGGCAAAGCTTTTACTACTTAAGGCGAAGGGAGCAGTTAAGTCCCCAAGTAACCATACGGGACTCAGCAGTTTCTCTGTCTCCCCCGCCCCCCACGTCTCTATTCAACAAATAGTAGGTTCCCTGCTCTCATGGCACTTTTATTCTAGATGACAAATGTCTTTTCCTTTTACACTTTTTGTCTGAATAATACAGGTGGAACAATATTGTACACACACCTGGAGTTGTTACCTGTTGATTTATCACATAGTGAACACATCTTTTAACTGACCACCAGTCAACTCAAGAAACAATATTCACAGCGTCTCACAAAACCTCTGGAGACCTCCTCCCATCAACCACCCTCCCCACCCCTTAGGTAACCTCTTTCCGAATTTCTAACACCACGTTAATGGAGCCCTGTTTCTTTGGTGTCTAGTTTACTCACAATTATGTGTGAGAATGTTCTATGTTGTGTGAAAAATAAAGTTCTGATAATGAAAAGAATTAGGAAGAAAAGGCAATGATAGAAACAAGAAAGTCAGAAAATTTTAGTTCGGGCTGATGATATTTTTATGGGAATGACTTGAGAGCAAAAGATTAACCAGGAGCAGAGTTAATAGTATTTCAAGCAGACAGTGGAAAGGAACTGAATTTGAACGAACTTGACAGGGAAGAGGTCAGATCATGAAAGGCTATGGCTGGGATTTCATTTTAAGTGTGTAAATTTAAGAAAGATGATTTTGATGTTTTGACTGTGCATGACCCATGTGTATAGAACATGAAAACCTTTCTATTTCATTCATCAGAGAAGCCTTGCAGATGTGGCAAAAATTATTAGTGCTGGGCAGATACTAAATCAGATTAAGAGGACTCTACAGAAATTAGTCCTTTATTCTGACTCTTAAAAAATATTTCTGTGGAGCCAGGTGTAGTGCATACATGTAATCCTGGTGTTTGGAAATCTGAGGCAGGAGGATCACAAGTTGTGGCCACTCCAGGCTGCTTAGCAAAATCCTGTCTTCACTCTCTTACATCCAAAATATTCCTGTCAAGTAGTCAACCAGTCTCTGTCAGAACCTCTTAAAGAAGTTTCTTAAGAAGAAGCACATTTTGTTTTTGGACAGTTCTGATTCTTACAAAACTTTCCCCAGTGTTTATTTAATTAGTACTGAGGATTAAACCCAGAACCGTGTGCATGCTAAGCATGTGTTCTACCACTGAACTGTACTCCTAGCCAAGTTTTCTTGATAATTAAATTGCCTGTTACATTGGTCATCAGTTGTAAGTCCATGCAAACTGATGATTATTAGCAGTTATCTACTGCCTTCTATTCAGTAATCACACACTTGATCTCTCTGAATTTACTTGAATTTATCCCTGCTATTTCTGGAGTTAGTCTATCCATAGATGGTAGACACAACTTTTTCGATTTGAGTCTTTGCTATTATTGTTTCCATCATTGGGCTCCTAGCAGACTTGGTCACCATGATATTCTTCAAGCATCACATTATATAAGTTCATTATGATGATTATTAAGTATTATTGGTAGACTTATTTTTGTTAAGTTTCCTGAGAAAATATGATTATCTGGAACTGTGGACAAATTGACTTGGTTGTATCAGTGACTTAAATTCTAGTTAGAATATTAAACTATACATGTTCAATTAACTGTGTATAATAAAGCCACATTTAATTATTCAGAAATTAGCATTTGAATTATAAATTTTAAGTATACCTTAGATCATAGTATTGCAATGCAGAATATATATATATGTATATATGCACACACATAAATATATCAGCATGTTGATAAAAAGGGCTTTAAACAGTAGACTAAACAAGAATTTGAATAGTTTATAGTAGTCTATAATGTGTGTGTCAATCCAGAATCAACATTGGAAATGATTTAATTTCATTTTTACCTTGTCTGTGGGATGGCATTTCTGAGGAGCAGGGGAATGACCAAAGGTGAAATGCTGGCAGGAGGAGGAGAGAGGAAGGGAGTTTATGTCATCCAAGTCTGAAGAGTGGAGCCATATGTCCTCACTCAGTGCTGAGTTCTGCCTGAGCAGATGCTAACTCTGAGTTCTGGAGTTGGCTTTTGATTTCTTAAAAATTTTAAATTTAAATTTAAATTAAAAAAAATTAAAAGTTGGGCTGCAGAGATGGCTCAGCAGTTAAGAGCACTGGCTGCTCTTGCAGAAGACCCTGGTTCAATTCTCAGTGCCCAAATGGAGGCTAACAGCCATCTGTAACTCTAGTTCCAGGGGAATCTGACACCCTCATCTGACCTTTGTGGGCACTGTACGACACGGGTGCATTTACATGCAAGCAATACACTCATATATATAAAATTTTTTAAAAAATGGGACTGGAGATGACTCAGCAGTTAGAGCCCTCACTGGCTGCTCTTGCAGAGGATCCAGGTTCAATTTCCAGCACCCACATGGCACCTTACATCTGTCCATAACTCCAGTTCCAGGGAATTCAGTGCCTTCTTCTGACCTCCGCGGCATTGCACAACATGGGCGCACTCACATACGTGCAGGTAATACACTCATACACGTTAAAAAATACTAATAATAAAATATTTTTTAAAAAAAGAGCAAAACTTCATAATACCTGAGCCATCTTTCTAGCCCCCTGATGTATTTAAGAAAATACGGAGGTCAGAAGAGGGCGTCAGATCCCCTGAAAGTGGAGTTATGGATAGTTGTTAGCCACCATGTGAGTGCTGGGAAGCGAACCTGGGTCCTTTGCAAGAGTAGCCAGTGCTCTTAACCACTGAGCCATTTCTCCAGCCCCATAAGAAAATGACTTAAGAGGTAAAATGTTCTAATTTTCTCCTAAAGCGCTCAGTTGATTTATTATATTTTTCTGAATACATTTGAATTAAAGTGTATCTTATGGTTTAAATGGCCCTCTTTTTCAAATGGGAAAGTGTCAATTTGATTCTTATTCTTAACCCTCAAAATCAGTGATGAGAGTACTCACCTAATCTAGTATGGTAAGGCCCTGGGGTTCCGTCCACAGCACCACAGAAACAACAAAACTGAAATAAACTAAACTGAAGGAAAAAAGTAGGAAGAGTGGGGGGAAACTTTCTAGGTGTTTACTTGGATTTTCCTGCTTTCGTATTTTCTCTTTTAAGGTTTAGGGCATTCTTACTGATTTTTTTTTTTTTGGAAAGTTCATTTCTTTGGGCTGGAGAGTTTGCTCAGTGGTTAGGGGCACTGATTGCTTTTGCAGAGGACCCTACTTTGATTCCCAGTACCCATATGACAGCTAACAACTATAACCCCAGTTCCCAGGAATCTGATGCCCTCTTCTGACCTCTGAGGCCATTGCATGACATGAGTGTACCTACCTACATGCAGATGATACACTCATACACATAAAACAAAAATAAACTTTTTAAAAAAGAGTTCAGCCGGGCGTGGTGGCGCATGCCTTTAATCCCAGCCCTCAGGAGGTAGAGGCAGGGGGGTCTCTGTGAGTTCAAGGCCAGCCTGGTCTACATAGTGCTTTCTAGGACAGCTGGGGCTACAGGGAGACCCTGTCTCGAAAAGACAAAAAAAAAAAAAGAGAACATTTCTCTTGGGCTGGAGAGATGGCTCAGTGATTAAGGGCACTGACTGCTCTTGCAGAGGACCCAGGTTCGATTCCCAGCACCCACCCGGCGGCTACGAACCGTCCTTAACTCCAGTTCCAGGGTCATCCGATGCCCTCTTCTGACCTCCGCAGCATTGCACAACACGGGTGCACTCACATACACACAGGCAATACATTCATACGCATAAAATAAAAATAAAAAAATATATAAAGAAAGTTCATTTCTCTCACATGAAGGGCTCATGTGATTAGTGCATAGATATTTTGAGAGAAAAGAAGTAAAAATTAAAATACAGAAATTACATTACTGGAAAGCTTTTCCAGACTCAGTGCAAAGGCAGAATTCCTCCTTTTCTTTGTACAAAGATCATCGCCGTTTGTCTACCTCTGTGGTCTTTTTGTTTTCTTAAGATACTTTCTTAGTGTGTAGTCCAGGCTGGTCTTGAACTCATGTCTCAGCCTTTTGAGTGTTGATTACAGCTGTGTGCTTGCAGGTAACCCATATTGTAGATAGAATTGACTGAGTTACTACCTGAAACCCTCGGGAGTATTCACTTGTGAGAACAAACCTTTATCTTTAGATTCTTTGAGTCATACTTCAAAAGGCAGTTCTCTGTAAAATATATTTCCCAATTCTGGGACTATGAAGCACTCTGTGACCACCCAATCCATGCCCTCCCTCTCAACCCTCCATCTTTCTACTTGACTTACTGGGTTCATTGTTATGGTGGTGTGCTGAGCTAAATCTTGTTTTTTGTTTGTTTTTTCTCCCTAGGCAACTTCTCCACAGATGTAATCAGTTTTTTATTGTTTTGAAGTGAAGCATCATTTAAAATCCTCTCAACATCCTAATTCTGAAGAAATGATAATATTTCTCTGATCAGAGAAATAAGTGAACAGCTTTGTTGAAAGTGTTCTGGCCCTCGTCTTGTTTTCCTTCCGAATTTGAGGAACTATGGAGAAGTGGTACTGGATGACAATAGTGGTCTTAGTGGGGCTCACAGTACGGTGGACGGTCTCTCTTAATTCCTATTCAGGTAATATATTTAAAAAAAGATTTTTATTTATGTGTGTGTGTCTCTTTGAGTGTATGTCACATGGTGCAGGTGCCCACAGAGGCCAGAAAGGGTGTTAGATCTCCTGGTACTGGAGTTATAGATGGTTGTTAGCCACCATGTGGATGCTGGGAACTTAACCCAGGTCTTCTGCAAGAGCAGCCAGTGTTCTTAACCACTGAGCCATCTCTCCCCAATCCATGCCCTCCCTCTCAACCCTCCATCTTTCTACTTGACTTACTGGGTTCATTGTTATGGTGGTGTGCTGAGCTAAATCTTGTTTTTTGTTTGTTTTTTCTCCCTAGGCAACTTCTCCACAGATGTAATCAGTTTTTTATTGTTTTGAAGTGAAGCATCATTTAAAATCCTCTCAACATCCTAATTCTGAAGAAATGATAATATTTCTCTGATCAGAGAAATAAGTGAACAGCTTTGTTGAAAGTGTTCTGGCCCTCGTCTTGTTTTCCTTCCGAATTTGAGGAACTATGGAGAAGTGGTACTGGATGACAATAGTGGTCTTAGTGGGGCTCACAGTACGGTGGACGGTCTCTCTTAATTCCTATTCAGGTAATATATTTAAAAAAAGATTTTTATTTATGTGTGTGTGTCTCTTTGAGTGTATGTCACATGGTGCAGGTGCCCACAGAGGCCAGAAAGGGTGTTAGATCTCCTGGTACTGGAGTTATAGATGGTTGTTAGCCACCATGTGGATGCTGGGAACTTAACCCAGGTCTTCTGCAAGAGCAGCCAGTGCTCTTAACCACTGAGCCATCTCTCTAGTAAATATTTCTTTGAGTTGGTTTCTTTTCCTAGTTTTTTTTTTTTTTAACAGTTTTCAGGTTTTTTGACTAAAATAGAATTTTGGGCTTTATTGTTTAGGCTAAAAAATACATGTCAAAAAAATTTTTTTGAGGCAGGCTCTCACTGTATAGCCCTAATGATAGCATACTATGTAGTTTAGGCTGGTCTCAAACTCACAGAAATCCACCTGCCTCACGCATGCTAGGCACTAGAAATACAAAGTGAGTGTTGACTTAATAAAGAACATGGTCTTAGTAGACAAGTGGTCATGGTACACAGTACAGTGTGATTGTTATAATTTAGAAAAGAGATTGAGGGACAAAGGTAATAGTAGAGAAGTGACTGATTAAGATGCAGAGAGACAACTTCAGAAAAGATGTATGATTTCAAGGTTTTAGGGACTAGTCAGAATTGCTAGACAAATGGAGTGGATAGAGTGTTCTAGAGTGGGGGCCTGTGCAAAGACATAATAGTGGCACAAGAGAAATGGTTATTTGTATTTAGTATTAGAGTGACATAACTACTAAAGAAAAAGCTGCACTAAAGGACTAAGATGGGAGGAAGTGGCTGGAGTTTTGGTATACATATATTGAGGCAAATTTGGTTGTTGAAAAATTTTTAGAGTAGTGAAAAACGATTGTAGGAAAATGTATTAGTTACTTTTCTGTTGCTGTAATAGAAATACTGACCAAAGCAACTTATAGAAGGAAGAATTTATTTAGCTTACAGTTCCAAAGGGGCAGGAGTCCATCATGGCAGGGAGGCATGGTGCCAGAGGTGGCTGGAGGAGGAGTGGAAGCTAGGCTCTACATTTTCAAGAAGGCATAGGATGCAAGAGAACGACTGGAGATCTGGCAAGGCTTAAGAACTCTTAAGTCCATCCCCAGTGACGTGTTTCCTCCAGCATAGCCACACCTTTAAGACTCCCCAAAACAGTGCCACCAAATGGGGACAAAAATGTACAAATATGAGCCGGGCGTGGTGGCACACACCTTTGATCCCAGCCCTCAGGTGGCAGAGGCAGGTGGATCTCTGTGAGTTCAAGGCCAGTCTGGTCTACATAGTGAGTTCCAGGACAGCTGGGGCTACAGGGAAACCCTGTCTCAAAAAGACCAAAAAAAAAAAAAAAAAAAAAAGTATTACTAATCTGTTTAAAGATATGAGAAGACGTTGAAAAGATGCTGAAGAAAACAAGAGACTAAATCTCTCTGGTATCCCCTTCTGTTGTGAGCTGAAGAAAAGTTCTTTGCTTTGGCTGGCTGTGGTGGCACATGCCTAAAATCTCCCACATGGAGGCTGAGGCAGGAGGATCTAGAGTTCAAAGCCAGCTTTAACTACCAATGGGTTTGAGGCTAGCCAGGAGTACAAGAGAGCCTGTCTCAAAAATAAAAAATAAATTCCTTGTTCTAAGACTTATATGATTATGTCCTATCTTAAAAGTCAATTATTGAGCCGGGCGTGGTGGCGCATGCCTTTAATCCCATTACTCAGGAAGCAGAGGCAGGCGGATCTCTGTGAGTTCAAGGCCAGCCTGGTCTACATAGTGAGTTTCATAAAAAGTTGGAAGGCTTGGGCTACTAGACAGGCAAGTTTAAAAAATATTTATTATTCATTCTTGAGAATTTCATACATGTATACAAGATATTTTGGTCATATCAGTCCCCTGCTTCCCTTTATATTTTATTTTGAGACAGTGTTTCACTAATGTGCCTGGTGTGGTCTTGGAATCACTATGTAGCTCAAGCAGGCCTGGAACATGCCATCCTCTTACCTCAACCTCTAAGCACCAGGGCTTACAGAACTGTGTTACCAGGCTCAGCCCTATATAAAAATTCTAGTATCTGTAGTGTGATTCACACTGTTTTTGCTGCCTCTTTTTATTCCTTCAAGTTTAGTGATTTTTATTTTTTTAAGGTGAGTTTATGTGCTTGAACGTTTTATCTGAAAATTCTCTCAGGCCTGAGTTTACCGTGTATTTCTCCATAGAGGGTTCCAGTTGCCTCCTCCTAGGCATCTAGGGTACTGCTAACAAAAGTTGAACCAACTTATCAACATACAACTTTTTTTTTCAACGTACAATTTCTTTGGGCCATGTATTTGGTATGAATAGAGCCCCAAAGTAGGTGACAGCAAGCTATGGTGAGGAGTTTTCAGAGGATAGTTTTGTGTATTAAGAGTCAAGGCAGAGATACTTCTTTTACCATCTCCCCAAAGCCACATGCCTTAATCCCAACAGAGGGTTCTCTGGCTTTGATTTCATCTGTTCAGGCCTAGGCCTTGCGCCCTTACTCACTGCATAGGGCTTCTTAGTAGCAGGGCTCTAGACCAGCAAAAATGATGAATACCTCAGAGCAAATGCTCTAGAACTACACTTTTTTGTTGTTGCTGTTATTTCTATCCTCTAAGGCTATCTCTTATGCTACTGCTAGTTCAGCACTACATTAAAATTGTATATATATTTACAAGATTTGTATTTTATAATGTGTAACACACTAACATAAGATCTATATTTAACATGTATATGTTCTTTGAGACAAGGTCTCATGTAGTCTAGGGTGGCCTTGTACTCCTTATGTAGTCAAGGATGTCCTTGAACTCCTGATTCTCCTGTCTCTATCTCCCAAGCTCTGGGATTATAGGCATATACCACTATGTTCACTTACATATGTTTATTTTTAAATATTATATAGGATTTTTACTGGAAGTTTACTGAACACTAAATTTGGTATATTGCTGGAAACTGAAGTCTCATCTGTTTTTTTTGTTGTTGTTCTTTTTGATACAGGGTTTCCCTGTAGCCCCAGCTGGCATGGAACTTACTATATAGACCAGGCGGGCCTTGAACTCAGATCTGCCTGTCTCTGCCTCCCAAGTGCTGGGATTTAAAGGCGTGTGGCACCACATCTGGTCTCAAGAAAACAGATTTAACTACTGACTGCCTCAGTATAAGGGGCAATGATTAAGAGGCTGAGAAAAACAAAACAAAAAACCCTTCCTAATTTGCTTTTGTTAGGGTAGTTTATCACAGCAACAGAAAAATAACTAAGACAATTAATTAAAAATTTTTTTGGTTTTAATTTCTATTAATGTATTTATTTTAGTTTCCTTTTGATTTATCTTCATTTGTAATTTGTAGGAGAGAAAATGTTTGTCTTTTCTCTTTGTCCTTCTAGGTTCCCTGTTAGAGCTCCTGTAACACAAGACAAGTTAACAGATAACCATACAGATTTACTCAAAGTTTTATGTGACATGGGAGCCTTCATAAGGAAACAAGAAACTGAAGAAACATTTAGATTTAAATGTTTAGAGTGCTGGGGAGATGGCTTCATGGTTAAGAACACTTGCTGTTCTTCCAGAGCACCAGGTCCCAGCACCCACATGATGGCTAACAACCATCTATAACTCCAGTTCCAGGGAATCTGGCACCCTCTTCTGGCTTCTGCGGGACATTGCATTCACGTGGTGCACTTACATACATGCAGGCAAAACACACTAAAATAATTAAGTTTGATTGTTTTGTAAATGGAGGTGGGATTTAGTTCAATTGGTAGAGTGCTTGCCTAGATTACATGAGATTCTGGGTTCAGTCTGGGTATGGTGGGGCATACCCCTGTAATTTCAGCATTTGGGAGGTGGAAGCAGGTAGATGAGGAGTACAAGGTCATCCTTAATTACACAGAGAATTAAGACCAGCTTGAGCTATATGAGACCCTGTCTTAAACAAAACAAAATAACAAAAACAGAAAGAAAAAAGTAATAAAAGTGGTATAAGATGATAGATTTTTGGTTCCTCTGGCCTGGCCTTTTCATTTTTTTGAAGCACTTTTTACCTGAAGGTCTTATGACCTACTTTAGGGACAGGTCAGAAAGATCTTTCTGTACCTGCTGCTTCTCAAATACCTTCCACTTAATGTACTCAGTGAGCCAGTGTTGTACTTGGGGTAGTGTATGGAGATCCCTATCACTCTTTAGTATGGAAATTCAGATCAGCTTGCTTTAGCTGCATTATTCTGTTTTTGGAAATGCATGTGTCATTAACAAACTACTTAAGTATATTATTGTGATTTAGTTTTTTCTGAAATTTATACCCCTTATTTTTTAATGTTGCTTGTGTAATTTTCATAGACATAAAAATATTGAATAAATATTGTGTGTTGCTTTTAAACAATCTATAGGGAGTAGACAGATTTTTATTTTAGCTCCTGTTGTTTATCATTTCTTAGATTCACAATTTCTCTTATAATTGATCCAAAGTATTACCAGTGTCTTTAGAGAAAACACTTGAATTGAGGAAAGCTACTTTATGTCAGTAATCTTTCTTCCTAGAAATTGTATTGACTGCTGAGGAAACATTCATAGCACAATTTTTTGCAGAATAGCAATTATTAAAAATATGGCCATCTTCTGACCTCTGTTGACATTGCACGACACAGGTACACTTACCTACATGCAGGCAATACATGCATACACATAAATAAAATTTAAAAAATATGACTGTACTTGATTTAATTGATTAGTTTCTTTTGAAACTAACTACTATTTATAAAACATCACTATTTATAAGAATTTACAAGTTCTTACCAGAAACATAAAAGAAGGGTTTCATACGGAAAATTTTAGTCAGATTTTCTTCTCTTAGAATGTTTATAATTTCACTGTGCATATGTATTGTTAACAGACTTTTCATTGTTTATATTCAAACATAATTTTGAATAATTCAGCAATTAATAAAATGAACATTTTTAAGTACTGCTTAAGCCCATTTTCTTAAAATATGATTGAGCCGAAGCTCTGTAAATGTATGTTGGTGTGTTTTCTTTATGAAGTTCAGAATCTCATGTGAATGAATTGTAGAGCTAATCGCTTTGGAAGGAATCCTTTTGCCCTTCCTCAGTGGAGCTCCCATAGGTACAGTTGGGTTGTCCTTCTGGGTTGCTTTAAGGGCACTTTAGCAGTTTTAAAAACTTAAGTACTAATTTCATAGCCAGTGTCAGCTGAATTTATTGAAGTAGGTCAGACTCTGGATAAAAACTTGTTTCCCAACCCTAAAGAGAGTCATTATCCATTCTTCTATTTGTTAGAGAACGGCAATAAATTCTTCCACATTGACCACAAGAGTTTCTAGAGTAGTTTCAGGAAGTCTAGATAGTTGGACTTTTTTCTAGGTACAAGAAATTACTTGAAATATTCTCTATTATTATCCTAATGCCACAGAAAAAAAACAAGTCAACTTTTCTCCCCCTAAAGTGGTTATACTTATTGAAATAGAAACACACATACATACATATCCATAATATACATAAAAGTAACTCATTGAGGAATTCTTTTCCTTTAAGAAATTATTGTAGGTTATTCTTCCTCTCCTGTTGAGTTTAATTAAGCAAGCTTATAGAGAATAAGTACAAGCTTATAGAAGTATATGCCTTACAGTGTACTTCCTTTGAACTATGGAAGATGAGTTTTCCTGTCTCTAATAATGAAAATTCTTAATTGATAAACGATTAGGAAGTAGTTTAGCTGTATGATGAAACATGGCATGGAAAGTATACATGTTATGAGAAGTCAGTAATTCACCTTCAGTGTTTTAAAAGGGGAAGGTTCCTGGAGGATTTGTAATGATTTTTAAAAATATATTTTTAATTATGTGTCTGTGTTTGTGTGCATGAGGGCAGGTGCCTGTGGAGTCCAGAAGAGGGCGTCATATCCCCTGGACTTGGAGTTGCAGTCAGTTGAGAGCTACCTGATAGACGTGTTGGGAGCCAAACGTGGGTCCTCTGCAAGAGCAGTACGCTCTCTTAACTGCTGAACCATCTCTCCAGCGTGTTTATTTTATTTTTTTTGAGAGGGTCTCATGTAGCCCAGGCCTTGATTGTTTTGTAGCCAAGATTGGTCACTTCCTGAATGCTGATAGGCATGTACCACTGTGCCTACTTTTTTTTTGTTTTATTTTTTTTTAAGATAGGATCTCACTTTGTAGCTCTGGCTGACCTGGAACTCACTAAATAGACCAGGGCTGGTCTCAAACTCCTAGAGATCCGCTTGCCTCTGCGTCCCAAGTGCTGGGATTAAAGGCATGTGCCACCATTCCTTGCCATCCACACCTAACTTGAGGTGATTCTTACACCATACCCAACTCAACATTTTGTTTTGTTTTTCATGCCAGGGATTGAACCCATGGCCTTGCATATGCTGGATAGGCACTCTACTTTTAAACTACATCTTTAGCCCTGAGGTAATTATTTATTTTGATTTACTCATTTGAGTGTATATGTGTATGCAGGCAGGAGGCCAGCTTTCAGGAGTCTGTTCTTGCCTTCCATTGTACTGAGGCAAGGTTTCAGTTTCTGGGTGATTGTCTTGTCTCTGCCTCCCATCTTTAGGAATGCTGTGAGTTTGCTATCACACCCAGCTTTGAGTTTCAGGAATTGAACTTGGATTGTCAACCTTTACCTGCTGAGCTATCTTTTTGGCCCCTTAAGGTGATTCTTGAAGGCAGCATATGATAATAGATAACAATATATATCTGATACATATATATTAGAGAATAAGCAGCATGAACAGTGAAAAATTCAAAGTGCCATTCAGTAAAGATGTTTGGGGCCTAGAAACAATGAGTTTTGTGTCAAGCAGCTTTTGTGTAATTAATTAGTCTGCCATCACAAATTGATATTACACATTCATTAAGTGGAAAATGAGGAACTCACAGATTCTTTTGAATCAATATTCACCAGGAATCTGTCAGGTGCCATTGAGAGTCACTAGATATTAATACATCCTGAGGATACAAAAATGAGTAAGTTGTGGTTCATTCCGAGAGATGGGAGTTTGTGCATACACAAGTGTGTTACACTATGGGTAGTATCTTGTGCCAGTTACTCAGTGTGTACATGCTATATATAAGCTGTTGCTCTGCTTTCCCCATAGTTGTCCCATAGTGAGAGCATGATAGGAACTCTAGCACTTAAAGAAATACTGGTAGAATACAGCAGTAAATAGTTTTGTTACCATAGTGTCCTGAAGCTTGAGAAACCCTGGGTTAGATTTCAGCAAGCAATAGAGTGTCTTTCTTCACTGTGGCTCACCCTCAGTAACTGTATTTGACTGTGTTTTTTCCACCTTATTAGCTGATTTAGAAACCTGTAACTTCACTATACCTTTTTGGGCTTCTCATAGTTTGGTAGTCAACTGGTAGTTAAAGAGGGAGTGGGTGTTCACTATTTGCTAAATGGAAGTACCTTTCTGTTATTTTAAGTGGGCAGTATAGGGTAGGAGTTAAGAATGTGGGCTTTAGAGTCAGTTTGCTGTGTTTATATCCGGATCCTACTTCTTACTGCTTGAGTGACTATCACCTCTTTTTCTAGCCTTAAAGTAGGAACAATAATCATGTGCTAGTTATTAAAGGACTGTTATCCCTTATTTTGAAGAAATTGTAAGCTGAGTTTTTAGAAATAATTTACCTGTGTGTGTGTATGTTGAATGTGTGCTATATAGTACATGGTTTGTAGAGGTCTGAGGAAAACTTGTAGTAGTCATTTCTCTTTCCACTATGCGGATTTCAGGGGTTGAACTCATATTGGAGGCAAGTGCCTTTACCTGCTGAGCAGTCTCACTGACTCCTAAGTTTTTATATAGTTCATTTGGTTGTAAAGTCTGTCCTTTGTCAGTATATACCTGTTTTGTAATTCTGTGTATAATCTTAAGTTTTTTATTTTTAGTTTGTAAAAGCCCTTTGTAAAATGCAGATATTTGTTGTTACTTTATGGTACTTTTTGTGAAGTGTTTGTATTAGTGACTTTTGTTGCTATGACCAAATGCTTGACAAGAAGCCACTTAAGAGAAGGGTTTTAGTCTTAGAGGCTTTGGCCAGTCATGGCAGGAAAGGTTGTGGCAACAGGCATAGGAGAAGAATGGTCACATTGTATCCAAAGTCAGGAAGCAGAGAGTGAACAGGAAGTGGAGTTGGGTTATAAAGCATCAAGGTCCTCCCCCATGACCCACTTCCTCTGGTGAGTCTCTACTTCTTAAAGGTTCCACAACTTTCCAAACTAGCCCCTCTAGCTGTTCAGACATAGGAGCTGGTGGGGGACATTTTGTAATCAAACCATACAGTGTTGTTGACAGTTTTTCTCATAAAGTAAAAATAAACCTGGGGCTGAGGAGATGGCTCAGCAGGAAGAGGTGCTTGTGTGCAGGCCTGATGAGTTGAGTTCGAGCTCTGGATTCTATAAGGTGGCAGAAGAGAGACCCAGCTCCTGAGAGTTGTCCTCTGATGTGTGGGGTGGTACAAGTATACCTGTACACACACATGCGCACACACACATACTAATTTTAAAAATTAAAAAATAAACATGGATGTCTTGTGTTAATAAGAACCTAAGTAAGGTTAATAATGACTTCCATTTGCTGAATGTTTCCTGTGCTAGGCACTGTTCTGAGTACTTTATATCCATCCTGGTATTTATTCTAGCAGTCCTTGGGATAGGTTGTGTTAATTTTACCCAGCACACAGTCACCTGGTATGCTAGCAGTGCTCAAATTCTGACATTATCTCAGACTTTTGGTAACTCCTGTGTTCTTTCCCTGACTTCATTGCTGCTGTAATGTAATGTTGACCAGTTTTATAAAGAAATTAAAAAAAACCTCAGTGATATGCTAAAAAGTACATTATTTTGCTCTTTTTTACTTTTCATTTTAGGTGCTGGAAAGCCCCCTATGTTCGGTGATTATGAAGCTCAGAGACACTGGCAAGAAATTACTTTTAATTTACCAATCAAACAATGGTATGGATAATTTTGGCTTGATTTTCCCATTTATCATAATCAATATAAAGATATTTAAAAGAAAAACACTATTTCCTTCATCCTGAATATCCTCTTTTCTTGTAGATGATGCTTTGCTGTGCATGTTGTATTTCATCTTTGAAATTTCATAGTCCTGAAAGTTATCCATATGTACAGTCAGTTATCCAGGATATGCTATTAAGCTAGAATTTTTTAATATTATTGTGTGTGATGTGGGGGGGCACATACATGCCATTGTGCATGTGTGATGATCAGAGGACAACTTTATGGAGTTGGTTTTCTCTTTCCACCTTTACATGAGTTCCAGGGAACTCAGGTTGCTAGGCTTTTGTGGCAAGTGTTCTTCCCCACTGAGCCTTCTGGCCAGCCTTAAGATAGACACTATATGTCTTAGAAAACTCCCCTGGATAAAAACTGGAAATTTTATCATGAGCTAAAAGTATTTTCTTACTGTTCCCTTTTCCATATTACTTATGTTAAAGCTCACTGGACAATAACTGTAGCTGAAAACAGAAGTCTTGACAATAGTAGCTGGCTTTATTTGTGTACCTGAAAAAGGAACAAAAGGGAGACTTGGACTTGTTTTCAACTGAAAAAAAGCACCTATGTCCCTTTGGGTCATGTCTCTATATGCTGCATTGAGAATGGGCCCTGACACATGGCAGACCCTTCAAAATACCTCTTGAAGGGATGAGTATTTACTTGCCCTTTTTAACTGGTTCGATTTCCATAGCCGTCTATGTAGTGTAAGGAGAGCTTCCACCCTTCAGGGATTTCATGGTATGGTATGTATTGGTACCTTCCATTTTGTATAACTCAGAAAACATCATAGAAGTTTTAATTTATTATTGTCAACCACTCAAACAATGGTAATTAACCTTAACTTCCTGTTTACCTGGAGGTTTCACAGAGTGTTTCTTAGGAATGTTTGAGATGTAAAAATGTGAAGAGGGTAGGTGCTAGTCAGATTGCCTGATTTCAGATCCTAGCTCTGTTTACTAGTGGTGTAACCTTTGGAAAATTATTTAATGTTGTCTTCCAGTTTTATCACTTGCAGAATGGAAGTAACTGTCAACGTATTTCCCTGGGTTATTGTGAAGATCAAATGAAATAATACATGTAATGCTTCTAGACCAGTGCCTGACATGTAATGAGCTTGTGATGAATGTTACCATGGTTATAGCATCACTGAAATTTGTGCCTGTGGGCTGGGAATGTGGCTCACTGGTACAGTGTTTCCCTAGCATGGGAAGTCTGGGTTCAATCCCCAGCACTACAAAAAATGAAATTCATGCTTGTGAACTGGTCATGTTAGCATAGGTATACATATGCAGGAGGCAGAGGCAAGAGAATTACAAGTTCTAGACCAGCCTGGGCTACACAGTTCTAGACAAGCTTGGGATACATAGCAAGACCCTGTCTCAAAAAAGAAAAGAAAAGAAATTCATGCCTGCCACTTTTACTGAATATATTCCTTCTTATCCCCTTCCCTCTCATTTTGAGCCCATTATACTAGGTAAGTACTCTGCCACTGAGCTATATTCCCAGCTTCTTATTGAATGTGTTTTGATGATAGTTGGTGCCATTACTTATTTACTTGATGGCTGATAGATTATTCTATAGACCAGCTATATAGCTGTTCATAATATTCTGTTATTCTTTGGTCATTGCTTTTATATAACTTTTATTAGACTATTTTATGCAGAAACTTCATGTTGAACTTTATTAATCAGTTATACTGCACTTAGAGTTTGCAGTGTTTCAGATAAGAGTTCAGCCAAATATTTGGCACTATTTTTTCTTTTTTTTTTTTCCCCCAGTGTTGATTAAACCCAGGGCCTTGGTCATGCTAGAGAGGTTCTCTGCCCTTGGCACTATTTGTTGTTCTATTTTGAGCATCTTTCAGATCTTGGCATTGATTTAATTAAAAAGGGTCACTGTTTAGATGATGATTATGATGATTTTGAGGCAGGTCTCACTATATAGCCCTGGCCTAAAACTCACTATGTAGACCAAGTTAACCTGGAACTTACAGAACTCTGCCTGCCTCTGCCTCCCCAGTGTGAGATTAAAGGTGTGTACCATTACACCTGGCTATTAATCAATTCTTGTTGTTTTGTTTTGTTTTGAAACAGGGTCTAACTATGTAGTTGGCTGGCTCGGAACTTGCTATGTAGACCAGGCTGGTCTTGAACTCAGAGATCTGCCTGCCCCTGCCTTTTAAGTTCTCGGTTAAAAAGTGTGTACCACCATGCCTGGCTTATTAAGACATTCTTAATGTTCATGTGTTATATTGGTAGACTAAGGTAGTTATTTACTAAGACAAATTAGACTTTACTTTTTAGCTTTGTAATTATTTTCTAAAAATTATATGGATAAGAGCCTTATTCTTGGCTATTCTTTGATGAGTAGTTCTCAATGAAGGGTTTGGTATAAAAGTAAATATATTGGGGGCTAGAGAGATGGCTCAGTGGTTAAGAACATTGACTGTTCTTGCAGAAGATCCGGGTTCAAATCCCAGCACCCACATAGCAGCTAACAATTGTCTGTAACTCCAGTTCCAGGGGATCCGACAGCCTCTTCTGTCCTCCACGGGCATTGCATGACACAGGTGCACTTACCTACATACAGGCAGTACATGCATACACATAATAAAAATAAATATATTTAAAATAAAAAGTAAATGTACTTAGTACTGAAAGAAAATACTGAGTACTTTTGAAGAAAAGAAGCTGATTCAGTTCAGAAAGTTCAAGAACGTGATGCTACTACCACTCAGCTCTTGGTGGGGCATCTCATGGTGAGTGACAACACAGTATTGAGAATATCTGCAGAAGTCATGTGGCAAGTCAGACTGATTTAGGGGTTAGGCTTGCTCTTTTATAACAACTCACTTTACCAAAGAACTAACTTGCTCCTTTAAGCTGGCATCCATGCCTTCCAAGGTCATGACCCCAATGGCTATTTTCCTCCACTAGGGTCCACCCCTTTCAAGGTCCACTGCTTCTTCCTTGCTGCCATACTGAGGAGCAGCTTCTAACAGGTAGCAGACTACTCAAGTCACAGCAGCATGCATGTCTGACAAAGTTTAACTTATAAAGTAGATGCAGTAAGATTCATAATAAAATAGAGCAATGATAGCAGGGTACTATAATAAAATTGCCAGCATCAATACTCTTGTGCTTTGGGTCCATTATTATGTAAAATAAAGGTTATTTGAATGTAGGCACTGTAATTCTGTGACAGTTCTGATAAGAAAGCTACTAATGTGAGGTAACTTACAGAATGACAGGTAGTTTACACAATGTGTTAGATGAGGGGTAGTTTTCTAGGAAGGATGGAATGGAAAAGCATGGCATTTTGTCATGCTACTCAAAGAGAAGGCAGTTTCTTAATTTCCTGGCTAATATTTTTAGGCTGCAATTGATTGAGGTAATGAAATAACAGAAAGCAAAACCCTACCTTAAATATATTTTTTAAAATTGTAAATGTCTAATTCAAAGAAAGAATACGTGGTTAATAGTCTGAAAGTCATGAAAAATTATGTAGCGCCTAGTGTAATCTCATTGACAGATCTTGTGCTGAGCACATTTAGCAGCAAGGAATAGAAAGCTCAAGTCAGCTGGCTGTGGGGGCATGTAGTCCCATGTAATCGGGAGGCCAAGACAGGTGGATCCTGATCAGATTGCTGTGGTATGTAGTCCCATGTACTCAGGAGGCTGAGGCAGGTGGATCCCAGGCCAGCCTGGGCAAATAGTGATTTAAGCAATAAAGTAATTGCTGAACTGCAGGACTAGTAAAATGGCTCAAGGATAGCAAAGGCTTGCTTTTCCTGTTCCTTTCTGCTGTTCTTGGCTTGTAGACCTGTTATACTGAGGCTTTTTATCATGTAATCATTAGATGGCTGCCTTGGTTATAAGCATTGTAGTGTTATAAAATAATGTTGAAGGCAAGAATAATAGTAATACTTTTTTACCTCTTGTTGACGGGTAGAAATCTTTCCCATCTTTGAAACAATCATTAACAGAAAGAGTTGCCTGGCTTAGTGCAGGCATGGTTTTATACTTGGGCAAGGAGAGAGTCTACTCTCTGTTAACATGTTTTCAGAATAAAATTGCAGTTTTATGGGCTGGAGAGATGGCTCAGTGGTTAAAAAGACTGGCTGTTCTTGCAGAAGACCCGGGTTCAAATCCCAGCACCCACATGACAGCTAACAACTGTCCATAACTCCAGTTCCAGGGGTCCGACAGCCTCTTCTGTCTTCTGCAGGCATTGCACGACATGGGTGCACTTACCTACATGCAGGCATAACACTCATACACATAAAATAAAAATAAGATTTTTTTTTTAAAAAAATGCAGTTTTATAAATCACAAGAATTGGTGAAAATAGCTGTTTATTTTGGCATTATTTATAGTAATGAGGAAGTTGAAACACTAAATGTCACTTAGTAGAGAAATAATATATTCAATATTCACATTTTTTCTAAGACATTCTCTAGAGTGGTCTCTTTCTGTGTATCTTCTCCCTCCTCCTGCCCCCATGTACTGGAGGTCATCCCCAAACTTGCTCTATAGCTGAAGATAATCTTGAACTCTTGATCTGCCTGCCTCCTAAGTGATGGGATTACAGGCATGTGCCACTACACCTGACTTTATTCCATGCAGGGGAGGGAACCCAGGGCTTCTTTCATGTTTGGCAAGCACTCTGCCAATTAAGTTATACCCTCAGCCCAGGGTAGACAGCGTTAATGGGTACCAACAACACAGTATCTTTCCACATGCCTTCACCATACTTAATACCAAACTTAAAATTGGTGTTTCCTTGACTACCTTTGACACTGATCATTTTAAAATGCATTTATTGTTTTCTCAAAATTGCATATTCATTTCTTTTCCTGATGTCTCTAATGGATTGTCTTTTGTTGTTGTTCTTTTTGAGACAGGGTCTCCCTGTAGCCCCAGCCGTCCTGGAACTAT